CGGAAGCACTCGGTTTATCACTACCAACGGCTCGGGTCGGCATCATGGTGTGGCGACCACCGTCCATGGCTCCTTGCGTTAGTAAGACCGGAGCGGGCCCGGCTATCCGCTGTAGGTAGCCAACGGCGACGGCTGCGGGAAGCGGGAGTTTGGCGACTGCTAATGGTAGGTGGCGGCAACGGCGGCAGCGGCAAAGAGATGTCGAGCGAAAAAAAGATTGGTTGCAAAGGAAAGACAAGGAAGAAGGGGGAGGAGAAGAAGAAAAAAGCTGGTTGGCAACAAGCCTGGGCCCTGGAGAATACCCAGAGTTGTCGGGAGGGGGATAAGGAGGAAATGCGAGCTACGGGTGGGCAGAGGCAAGCTTCTTGGTGCAATTCAAGCAAGCAAAAGTAAGCGGTTGCAGCCAAGACTGCAAGACAAGAGCTTGTCTAAATTGCGGAAGCTTGGGCTTTGGCTTTGACTCTCCAACGCGGACTCCTTACCGGTGGTGGTGGTGGTGGTAGTAGTAGTAGCAGCAACGGTAGGAGTTGGAGCGATTCAATCGCGATTAATGCAGTCAGTTAGGAGGCCAATGGCGGTAGGGCCTTAGGGTGAGGTAATGTATGCCAATGTTTTTGTCGGTAGAGGGGACGAACGCACCAGGTGGGGTGGGCAACCTTTTCTGAAATTGAAAAAAGTGGGCATGTACCCCGAGGTGCAGATCCGCGTTGGTGATGCCGCTGCTGCTGTGTAGCCGCATGGTGCATCAGGGCGCACGCAGACGGAGAATTCGTGGGCCCTTCAGGACGGCGCTAAGCAGTACCGGTAGTTTAAGCAAACTAGGGCCTGGCTGCGGTTTTGATGCAAGACAGAAAAAAAGGGTCAAGAAGTGCCGCGCCAGGTATTCGTACCTCAACTCAAGTACGTTATCCGTACTACCTACCGGTACCTGGGTGACTATCTAGAGAAGTACAACGCGACTGGACTGAACTGGGCTGGGCGGTAGGTACGTACATACATACCTACCTACCTAGTGTATCAACGGAACCATCCCAAAACCACACTGTAGTATATCGGCCGCTGGTGATGAGTACCTACCATGTAGGTAGGTATTTACCTAGGTATCTAGGTCGGCATTTACCTCGGTAGGTCGGTACATTTCTAGGTACCCGGTATATCGGAGTCGACAGTCAGGCAAGTTCAGTCAACATACGAGGGCGACCCTAGAGACCAAAAAAAGAAAAAAAGAGAAGAAAAAAAAAAGACAGTGAGCGATGGAAGGGGTAGGGGGACTCGTCATCCTCTGGCCGGTACTGGTCCCTAAAGGGGAAAGGCTCGAGCTGCCAGCTTCGAAACCCCAAACCCAAGCGTTCGTTGCATTTGGCAGGTCTGCAATCATGCAGGTCAAGCAGGACGCCACATGCGACTGGAGAACTGGAGAATAGTAATCGTACGTGTAACCAGACCTAGATCCTGACAGGGGTAGCGCCGGAAGGATCCGTCGACAGCTAAGCACTGAGACGACGACGACGACGACGATGACGACGACGCGGCTTTTTCGCACCTAATTGATGCTTCATGCCGATGCGGGTGCTCTGTGCTGCAGACAACGAATTACAAGTTCTACATGGCCTGGAGTGTCGTGTAGCCCTGTAGACTGACATGTTGATTGTTACCTTGACCTACGTGAGTAGGACTGAAGACCCCTCGCCTTCCTCTTTCCATCAACATTGTCCGGCAAGTACATATATGTATGTACACTGCGGACAGCCTTCTCCGAGCAAAGATGCCGCACCCATTGTGTCGCGTACGTGAGCCGATGAGGCTATTCATCTTGCGGGAACCAGAGATGCATCAAACCACCCAAGGCCGTGGACACAGCATCGACGCCAGAATAGCAGCCATGGCCGATGGAGCGCGACGGTCGTCTTTTTCGAGGGCAACAGTTTGTTAGACATGTTGGCATCATGGCAGCAACTGTGCTATCGATTGGGTTAGCCCGGGCAATTTTGTAAAGTCAATAGACCAAGCCATCCGCCTGACTCGTGGGCTAGATGGCCGGTGACCTTCCCTGCTGCCGCCATATCTGGACGAGTTCGAGCAATCCTGTCTTCTGCCGCCGCCAACCGAGAAGCATGCAAATGCGATACCAACGCAGCTTGGCGTGTACTGTCCACTTACCTACCTGGTAGGTAGCACCTAAAACGCGTATGGGCCCCTAGGAGGCTCCATTCCTTGCAATGTCCATCTCCGGAAGTGGAACCCCCCTCACACCCTCTTCCTTGAATGAGGAAAGCACGGTATACATACGGATACAAGCACAAACCATTGAAGGTACAAGAAGCCCTGCAAACAACAAACAACGTGCTAACATAGGCATTCCAACAGAGGAAGGGGTTTCTCGTTTTGAGCCTGGAAAGTAGACAGCAAAAAGCGTTACGTAGGCCCGATTTGCCAGTGCCACCCTGAACCCTGTGCATGCATGCCCGTCAAGGATAGGGAGCCCATTCTCTAGGTACCTTGCAGCAGTATTCGTAGCGTAGAGGTCCTTCCCCCTCCCGAAATTTCATGAATGGAACCATTTAATTCCCATCACAACTATCTGTACGCAACCATCTGCCTGCTTACTTGTAAAGCTAAGTCCCGCCAGCATGTTGAAGGTTAGAGCAGTACTCGTGTTTCCTATCCGGTCGGTACCTAGGCCCTGCAGGTACTCCTGAGGTACGGATACAAGGCGGGCCCTCTTGAGGTCGCACAGGTAGACAATAGTGACCATACACCGTGGGAAAACAGGTACTACGTCAAAATTCAAGATACTGGAGGATTTTTATATACTACCTACCTGGGTGAGTTAGGTACGCAGTTCCCTAGTGCTCCTTCATCCCAGCTCCCAGCCAGACGTGCCCCACATTAACCTCTGTGAACCCTGCGTCTGGTTGCTGCATCTCTGATTCCACGACGTCTTCTCATCCATGCCATGTTCTTGCTTGTAACGTATACACCAAGACAACGACCAGTGGTGGGCAGAACTCCAGGTCAACGAAGATTGACCGAAATCCCCTTGGCTGTCTCTTCTCGTCCCACGGCCAAGTAACCATAACCTTCTCACCGACAATGGCGCGCTCCTAGAAGCTTGAATTCTGCCCGCGTCCGCGAAAGCCCCGTCAGTCAAGCGTCAACATGACGACTTAAACCCTGTCTCAACACGCCGGCGCTAGATGATGAAGATAGAAAAAGACGGCAGAATGGAACCTCCACACGGCATTACTGCTAACCATACTCCATCACACCATGAGCTGTGAGGTGGTGAAAGCGTCATTTGAGACACGCCCGTTACATCTCGCAAGCAGCCTACTCAGGTGAGCCCTATCGACTTTGCCCACGTGCGCACAGGACATCAAGTGCCGGTTGCGGCCATCATCACGGATCACAGCCTATGGTTTACCGGTTCGTAGCCGCAGCAAAGTGTGTGTGGCCGGTGCCGAATACCTGGGCTTGGGGGGGGGGGGGGGGGGGGGGTGATATACACAGTTCCGGCAAACCTTTCCCTTCATTATGAGGCTCTTCAAGCAAGGTCATGGCCTGATCAGTTCCAGACAACTGGTGACGGCGGGGTCCGACTCACGTGGAGAGGCCAGTGTCTACGGTCCTCGTGCGAGGTTGCCATCAGCGTCTTCGTTCCGGTGGGTGGGCGGGTGTCGGATATTAATATATCCCTTGTACCTCGTATGCGCGCAAGAGAGAACCAATCCGTACCTGCTTCATTGGCGCCCCGAAAAGAAAATAGCCCACTAATTGATTCTTTCCTGGCCCCGCTCGTTTTGGTCTCCCATGTCCAATGTCTTGTTGGTGGAACTCGTCTCCTCGAAATCCAAGACACACACCCTTCCCCTTGGTCACGGATAAGACAGTGGATACTACCGCCGAATCCCCCAACTCCCCGACTACCTATCCCTTTCCCGCCCCGCGGCCATGTCTAGACTCGAGTCTGTTTCAAGTCTGTCTCCAAGTTTGTCCTCGCCTGGTAGGGTTGAGGCTTGGGCCTATAAAACCTCCTTCTTAGGCCCGCCGCTCATCTCCCATTCATCATCAGGATAAGCCATTCGGTGTATCCGGCAAACTGGCCGACCTCGTTGCAATATCATGCAGCCGCACGGGCGTTTCGGGGAATAGCCGCCCTTTTCAATACACGCCGAATTCTACAGAGACGAACTTTGAGCAATTCTTTCACAAGGGCTGTGAAATGTCCGACCGAAGCATCCAGAGGCGAGCGAGATCATCCTGATCCCAGCGTCATCCACCGATCCGAACGACCCCTTGGGCTGGTAGACTGCTTGGTAATCCTCAGAGGGCGAGCTCTTTTGCCGAGTCGTCCAGACCACAATGGTACAAGTAGTGGAGTTCGTCGTCTAGAGCTCCGAAAAGACTCTCTAATGACCTTGCTGCAGTCCCTTCGATAGCATTGGCAAACACAGCTCTTGTGTTCTTCCCGCGGTCGCCACAGTCACTGACGCCTTCACTTTGGCGGTCGCCCAGACTTCCTACTTCTTCACCACGACGGCGCTGATCCAGAGCGTGGGCAACTTCCTTCTGGGTGCCCTTGGCCAACAAGCTCTGCTGGTGGCCAATCTACATCGCGAGTTATTCTGTCTACTTGCATGTACGATTTGATTCATATCTGGGGCACTCCTACGGCGGTTTCTGGGCGGTTGATTTCTGATGGGGGGTTTGGAGCCAGAGCTGCCGAGACGATCGCCCCCGTCAGCATCGCCGACGTCTTCTTTCTGCAGCACCTCTTCACATCCCCGAAGATGGCACACGAACGCCACGAAACGAGCGTCCAGAGGCGCATCGGCTTGCTGGGCAAGAGCAAGTCCGGGTCGGTCAAGTACGAAACAGGGCTCTCTCGCTCCGTGGGAAATCTCTCTTGAGCTTCTTCAACAAAAAACTTGCGCAAGAGAACCTAGTGAAGCTCGCCCTTTGCCCGATGGGCCTGATCATCATCCCCCCGCGCTTTGGGCGGCACCAGTGCGGGCTGCGATAGGAGTTCTCATCGTAGCCGTGTCCTTTAATACGGCAACCGCGTCTAGCACTGCGTGCGGTTTCGATTCATGACAAGTTGGCCTCTACTTAGTCGCCGGGATCATGAGTCCTTTGTTCGGAATCACGGCCACCTAGGCGATCGGTTGCGGACTGGTTCACCGTACGAAACGGCGGTGTCCGAGATCCGGAGATGCGACTACCTGGCATGGTCGTTAGCATCATCACGGCACCACTGGCATTGGTGCTATACTCGGCATCGAGAAGCAGCTGCATTGGATATGTCCCACTGCCGTTATTGGCCGAGCAGCAGAGCTCAAGTAGACAGAAAGGGGAGGGAGGGGAAGACCCACCCCCACTCAGCCGATCTTTCTTCGCTTTCTCTCCATCCGCCAGGTGAGTCCGCAACAAGCTGGAAGACAGTAACTTTAGGGCGAAATTATTTCTCTTCAGTCCGTGTACTGTTCATCCTGTACTTTTCTCTTCGGAATCTCGACCAACGAGACCAATCTCCTCTTCACCTAGTTGGTTTTCGATAGGGGATCATGAAGCCATCGCCTCAAGGCGACAACGTTCCGCCTACACGATTTCCTGCCACATTTCATTAGATAGCTTCTTAGCCAAGGTAACTATGGATTGGATTTCGAGTGATTGTGCGGGGAGATCTGAATGTTACGGTACCGGTACTAGTGGTGTGGGATAGCAACCGAGCTAATCACGGCTCTCCCCTCCCCCGCATTCTGTGCCGGTTGGTGGTAAACCGGAAACATGGCGGGGGAGGAGAAGCACGCACACCGGTCGTCCCTTGTTTGGAAAGGTCGGGCTTAGTGAGGGCTGTTTTAGATCCCTTGGGAAGAAGTCTGGAGCTCATCCGAAAGAGTTCCGACGGTCGATGATCGGTTATTAGTCTGTCGATGAGCACACGAGCACGGCATCTGCCATGCGTTTCAGACGACAGCTTCATCCTGTGGCGGCCTAGCGGTCGTAAGAGTCCAGGGTCCCTAGTCGGCCATTAAAGAGGCTAAAATGAGAAAAGCATGAGAGGGAGGGGCCGAAGAAACCGGAGCTACGGCAGTCGATATGTGTGGCCTTGGCCTACGCTTGCCAGGACGGGAAGCGTTTGAGATGCCCGCCTGTTTCTTCTAGAATATGCAGCGCTGCACCGCCCTCCTTTCGCATTACCGGTAGTACTTGACGGGCATGGCTCCCTTCGTCCTACTGTTGTGTGTTTCGTTTCTTAATCCCTTAATCTAGATTCTCTTTATCTCAATCCCTCCACTTCCCTTCCTCAGTCATTTTCTCATTCATCGCCAACAGAAACCGACCGACAAGGACGAGTTTCGCCATTGCCCTCGACTACTCCCTCGCACGCTTACTTTCACTCAGACATTTGGCACCTCGATACTATGTTGATTAACGGTGAGACCCAGCACCCTAATGGCGCTCACTCGAGTCCTATGATCCATGATTGTCCGCGGCCACTCAAGGTGGCCATTGTTGGTGCGGGTATCGGAGGTCTAAGTGCCGCCATCGCACTGCGTCGGGAAGGTCACCAGGTAGACGTATGAAACCCTTGTAATGCACCATCACCTGCCAATGCGCTCGCGGCTCACCTTGAACGGATTGCAGATATACGAGCAATCGAGGCTCGCCAACGAGACCGGCGCCGCCGTGCATCTGGCGCCGAATTCCAACGGCCTCCTCAGGAGGTGGGGCATCTACGCCGAGACTTTCGGCGCCAACCCTGCGCACCGCTTCAAGGAAAGAAACATGCACAACAAAGGCGGCTTCGATATCGACATCACCAAGTCCGAGGGCCAGTGGCAGCACCCCTGGCAGTTTGTCCACCGCGGCTACCTCCATAGCGAGCTGCGGAACGTCGCGACGGCGGAGGATGGCGTGACCCCCCCGGCCAAGATCCACGTTGCGTCCAAGGTTGTCAACGCAGACCCTGAAAAGGGCGAGATACAGCTAGAGAACGGCGCAACTGTACAGGCGGACGTCGTCCTTGGCGCGGACGGCATCTACGTGAGTTTCAATCACTTTCGCCGTTGGTGCCTTGCATGGACTGACACTTGCATTAGTCCCGGGTCAGGAAATACATCACCGGCACCGACTACAAGCTTTTCCGTTCGGGCAAGGCGGCGTTCCGATTCCTCATCCCGACTGCTGCGGCTCTGGAGGATCCCGTCACTGCCCCGTTGATCGAGAAGGAAAACTGTCTCAGCATCTGGTTCGGGGCAGACAGGCGTATTGTGGTTTACCCTTGCAACAACAACCAGCTATTGAACTTTGTGTGCATTCATCCAGATACCGAGTCTCACGCAACCACAACCGATGGTACGCTTCTCGCACCTCACACATTACTGACCACAAGACTGACAGATGCCAGGATGGAGTAAGAAGGGTTCCATTGAGCAGCTCCTCAAGGTGTATGAGAAATTTGATCCTGATGTGCTGCAATTGCTCAAGAAGGTCCATCCGGACGAAGTTAATGTCTGGCAGCTGCTAGACATGGAGGCCATGCCCACGTGGGTAAATGAAAAGTTAGCGCTCCTCGGTGATGCTGCTCACCCATTCACTCCTCGTAAGTCGTAATCAAAGTCCGAGGTCTGTCAAGTTACTAACAAGAAGACCAGACCAGGGGCAAGGAGCAGGTCAAGCGATGGAAGACGCCGCGGCGTTGGCCGTCGTTTTGCCAAATGGAACATACCCGGAGGATGTGACGGAACGGCTTCGCCTATACGAGCAGATCCGCCTGGAACGCGCGCACAAGATCCAGGAGTTCTCTCGCCAAGCTGGCATGGACAGAATACCCGGACAACAACCTCCCATCAATAGTTTGTGGCACCCTGGTCTACAAACTCGCCGAGTTGCACCCGCTAACGTGTCGACAGTGATGGAGTACAAGAACTACAACTTTGGCCACGACGCGCATGATCACGCGACAAAGATGCTCAACAAGTACCTGTGGTCCAAGAAGAAGGATCTTTACTGGCGCATGCCTGTCGGGTTCGGCCCTTTCCCCGGCCCCCGTCAGGACTTTTACGGCCGCCGCCAGCCGTCCGAGCTCGACCGCACCTTCAAGACCATCTCCGTCAAGTTCCTCACGTCGCGGACATTGCTCGAGACGATCCTCCCGAACGACTCCTTCCGTTTCAAGGCGCCCGGGACCGTCTGCACCGCCTCCCTCTCCGCCACGCAGCTCAACAACATGTCGTGGCTCGGCGGCGGCGGTTACAACCACCTGGGCCTGTACATCCACGGCATCGAGTACGTCAAGCGCGACGGGACCTCGGTCGACGGCACCCATCTCGCCGTGCTCTTCGAGTCTCTTGCCGACCCGATTGTCTCGGGCCGCGAGGAGCTCGGCATGCCGAAGCTCTTCTGCGACATCGACGTTGAGCACCACGCCACGGCGGCCCGCGTGCGCGCGTCGTGGCGGGGCGCCAGGTTCATCGATATGTCTCTCGACAACCTGCGCAAAGACGACCCCGAGACGGAGCACGGCACCATCGGCGGCGAGGCGGACTACGGCATCCTGACGTACCGGTACATCCCCTCAGTTGGGAATCCCGGCAAGGCGGACGCCGCATACGCGTGCGTGGTGCCGCACGAGGAGGAGGCGCGGGACGTGCCGGCTACGGTGCACGCCGTGGCAAGATCGCCTAGCGCCTCGGTTACGGTGGAGGGCCACGACTGGGAGAAGCTGCCGACACTGCATCACATCGCCAAATTTTTGGCCGAGATGCCCATCTACAAAGTCTTGGGCGCCAAGGTTGTGGAAGGAACCGGTGTCTCCAATGTGTCCGCGGCTCGGAGGATAGAATAGCGGCTTAACTTCGAGTTGGGGGGAGCTTTTGGTGGATTTTGTCAATCTGGGAACAGCATATGTGAAGCGCATCGTGTACATAGTTTCTATTGCGGTATTCGGGCTGAACGGCCTGTGGGAATACCAAACCCGTTTCATCGTATTAGCAAGCGATCCTCGACCTAGTCCCGACATTGCGTTTCAAAGGCGTGAGAACGCAAGTGACAGTTCGAAAATGCCGAACACCGGCTGCTGTATGATGCTGACACGGGCCAAATGGTGCTCACAGACACCGGATTAATTCCCACTTCATCCGTTCACCCACCCTTGTCTGGTCAATTTGTTCTCCGCAGCGATCCGTGAGCAGCAAGTTTCCGCCTTCAGCGGGTAAAATATGCGTACGGCCGATAGAAAGCAACCCACCCACCCCCGGTTTCTACCGTTCCCACCAGCCGAACCCTCCCCGCACACCCCGCCATCACCTTCTCGTCACCGGCCCGGCCCCGCCTCCACTTCCCGGACCACGTTGGGGGCGGGTATCGCTGTGTTTTGATACCACCTCGGATGCTGATCCGGCAACTGGCTTTCCCCCTCCTTGTCTCCCTCAGAGGCCGGGGAAGAAACTATGAGCATGTTGAGGAGGTGTATCGGAAACTTTTAGGACTGCTAGGCCCTGACAATCCTCGGTCGAGGAGTAGAAGCATCCGTTCGTCTTGCTTTGCTGATATACCTACGTCATGGACCACGCTTTCCTAATTGCCAAATTACCTACGATATCCAACAAACACCTTTCGAAACCGTGCCATATCAGCGAGAAGACGCAGAGGTATCATAACTGAGCCTCGAAGTGACGCAAAAAAAAGAAAGAAAAAAAAGACATTACTTACATTGATTTCCCGGTCGAAATGGCATCCTCAGTCACTCCGAACAACCTTCGTCGGCCTCAGCGCTTCATCACAGACCATGCGGCCGACGGCAAAGCCGTCTTCAACACCGCCCTTCCTGAAGAGATCCCTCAGCAGACCATCGCCAATGACGCAAAGTTCTATCTGGGCTACACCACCGAGCATACGCCCGTCTCCTTCGCCGGCAACAAGGACGTGGAGACGTACGCCGCGCGCCTTGCAAACCCGCCGGGCATCGTGATCCCCGGCGGCAGCGTCATGCGCATCGTCGACTGCCCACCAAACTCCCTGTCGCCCATGCACCGCACCGTGAGCCTGGACTACGGCGTCGTGCTCGAGGGGGAGGTTGACCTCGTGCTGGATTCCGGGGAGACGAGGAGGATGCGCAGGGGAGACGTGAGCGTCCAGCGGGGCACGATGCATGCGTGGAAGAACGTGAGCGAGACGCAGTGGGCCAGGATGCTGTATGTGCTCCAGGAGAGCCAGCCTCTCGAGGTCGCGGGCCAGGTCTTGGAGGAGGATTACGGTGTCGGAATGGAGGACGTGAAGCCCTCTAGCAAGTGATTGAGCCGAGACCTGGCGCTAATATGGGGGCAAGGATAGCCTCATTTCATACATTAACCAAAATACCATAAAATATACGCAGAACACTGTTTGATTGCTTCATATAATGCTCCCGGATGTAAAAAGCGTGCTATACATTTTGGGGGGGGGGGGGGGGGGGGGTAAAGAAAAAGAGTAAAACACCCCCGCGTCGTGTCGCTTTGTTTACAATAATTCAAGACGGTTCTGCCACGTGTTTCTGGTTTCTTAGTAAATTGCCATTTGGGTTACCGCTACAAGGAACCACTAAGTTATCATCTGTTGCCATGACTCCAGCAACGATTGTCATGTCACGTATGTGTCCTGATGCTTTTGGCAGGCAACTGTTGGCTGCGTTATCTGGAGCGTGCTTTATAACGGTTGAGGGGACACGATAGCCCTGCCGCTTTGTTGGTTGGTTGAGAATAGGTTTTGGCGTCACTGGCCTAGATGTTCTGCTTGCTGTTAGTAAATATATATGTGCTGAGTGGCTGCTTTATTGATTTACTATGCTACCTGTTTCAATCAAGGCTTTTGTGGTGCTGCCTATGTTTTGCCTGTATCCGTACTTAGTGAATGATTTTATCCATAGTAACATGGCTGACTTATATCGTTGTTGACCTTGTAGTTAGCGTACTTTAAAGGTCTACTATAAATAAAAAACCGCTTGCATAAGTGATTTTATTAGGTAGATCCACCCTAAGCTAGGCGAACTAGTAGTAGAAGGTCGACACTAGAAACAGGATAAAAAGTCGCCTATTGCCTAGAGGTAGGCGCTTACACAGGAGCAGTGCGACATGGCTATCCCTGCTTTTAGGCTCGCTCATGGCAAGTTTACCGGACTGAAACAATAACGAGAGCTGGGCTTAGGGTGGCTCACCCTCTGCTCAACTTTGCTCACCTTTGGTTCAGGTTAAAGTGGCCATCGATCAGTCCTCACATCCAATGCAGATTTGGCACGCAGTTCCTATATAGGTAGGAGTTGTACCTGTGTATCCGTAAGGTAGCTTAGAATAAGGTATGGCAGCTGCACTCCAATCAGCAAGTCCAGCCACGGTGGCGGACCCTTGCCCGTTTGGGATGGGATCTCCCCGCGCCACACTTCCCAGCTGGCGCCAATCGCGCGATAAGATCCGACGGGGAAAGGTCCACACAAGTACCTAGGTAGACTGTGTGTGTGATAAGCACCAACCTGTGGACCTCCCTGAGTCCTGTTGCGACTAGGGCGGCAGGTGGTTCGAAGAGGTGCATGTGCTCATGCTCGTGTGCCTCGACTTGCCCCTCCAAATATTCCTCGCTCCATCGCCTAGGACTTTCTGCCAAGTTCTGCATTTTCTTTGCCACGGCGCCAACAATCTTCCAAGTCCCAAATGCACCCGACCGCCTTCGGCTCTCCTTGTCTAGGTAACATTCGACCCCACCATATGTCGAATATTGAATCTTGTTTCGTCATGCTGACTTATCACGGTCCGACAGCCTGACTTATCGCTCGCCCACGAGTTGCTGGCGATACCGACCGACCTCATTGACGCGGAACATACAACGGCGAGCTCTATTCAAGACGAGACGAGATAGACCCTCGATAAGCCCGTAGATATCAACCGAGCTGGAGACAATGCAAACATTCTAAGATGGCGAGTCCAGACGGTGGAGCTGCTCTAGCTTCCCTTGACGATAACAACCGCTTGCACGATGATGGAGGAGATTCGATATCGGGCAGCTCCTACATAGGAAGTGACGCCTCGGACGAATCCTCAGGGCCAGGAGAATGTCGCTGGCGAACTGCCCGATACCACGACATGGAGTGCTCCCGATACTTCGATTGCCCTACCCATGTCGTCGAGAGGCGGCTCTCGGACGTAGAGGCCGACGATAGCGATGAGGGGGATGACGAACCAACCGTGCAGCTTCGAATAGACGACAATGGGATTGGAAGTAGTTCCAGCGCAAGGCCCCAAATCATCGAGCCCACGGCGGCCGGTGATGCTGCAGAACCGAGAGCAAGCTATGCACCCGTGCCCGAGGCGACCGATACCGTCCTACCGACTGCACGAGCAGATTCAGCACAGGCAACCTCAGCACGGGATACCGAAGGGCCTGATGAGTCTCAGGATCCCGAAGAAGCCGCGTCGGCACCACCAACGCCTCTGAGTTCTCGACTCTCAGAGTCCTCTCAACCTCTTCCTCCCACCGCAACGCCTGCACAGCCTACGGGAGAGTTTGTCCCGTCAGAAAGGTCCTCCAGTTTGATAAGCTTACAAGCTGCAAACACATCGTCGCAAGACTTGCCTCTACGTCCAGCCTTGTCATCGAGTCGATCCCTGGAAACGGCGCCCCCGCCGCCACCTAGAAGATCGAGCTCTTCAGCTGCCGTCCCGTCTGCCTCGCGGGGCCAGCAAGGTTCCGAGGAGAGGAGCGGTCCGCCCGAGTTTGTCTTGCCAAGGTGGCAGCCAGACGCAGAGGTAACCCTTTGCCCGATATGCCACGTACAGTTCAGTATTTTTGTTAGAAAACATCACTGCAGGTGGGTTTGGCCGGTTCTGGTACTGATGCAAGCCACATGCTAACGTGACATAGGAAATGTGGAAGGGTCGTGTGTAACGCCTGCTCACCTCACAGAATCACGATCCCTTATCAGTATATTGTTCAGCCGCCCGGCCAACCGCGGTTGGCGGCCCAGAGATACCCATCGTCCCTCATCAGCGGTGAGGGAGGATATGCAGATTTCAGCAGTCTCGGTGGAGGAGAGCGAGTTCGTCTATGCAACCCATGCGTCCCTGACCCGAACACCACACCACCTCAACAGTCGATCGCCTCGCCATCGCAGCTGTCGCCGCGAGCGGCGCATTATAGATCACAAAGCAGCATCAGTACTATGTCTAGCAACGCGCCCCCGCCCAGTCGCTTCTCAGGCTACTTTACGTCTGGGCCTTCCTCGGATACCTATGCGCGGTCTAGAAGCATCACTGTAAGCATGGCACTCTTCACTCCCGGCCTTCTCCCAGCTCAATACGGAGGCTAACAATCACAGCATTCCGGATCCGGTGGCTCCTTGGGTTCTCGCGGACATTACCAATCCACGCAAAACCGGATCATGGCGGGAACCCCGCCCACGTACTACCCCTCCTCGTCGACAGGCTACCCGGGCTCATCTCGTTACCGGTCTATGCTAGATGTTGGGCCGTCTTCTTCATCTTCAGCCGCCCAGAACCGTGCACTGCCGCCTCCGCCGCCCCAAATCGCCGAGGAGGACGAGTGCCCGGTCTGCCACCGCGAGCTCCCGTCGCGCAGTCTGCCGAACTTTGAGGCTGTGCGGGAGACGCACATAACCACTTGCATTGCCGCACATAGTACATACAGCGGCACGCCTACGGGAGAAACACCGCAGAATACCGTTGGTACCCCACCTCCTCTGGCCATACGCCGGACTGGGATGTTTCCTTATCTGGCCACGGAGAAGGACTGCGTCGATTCTGCCGAGTGCACCATCTGCCTCGAGGAGTTCGAGGTAGGCGTTCCCATGGCGCGTCTAGAGTGCCTCTGCCGTTTTCACCGGTCCTGCATCTCGGCTTGGTTTATCAACCACCCCGGCCGATGCCCCGTCCATCAGCATGATAGTTTTGGCTATTGATACCTAGGGTTGTTCTTTCGATATTTCATCTGTCGTTTGCTCTGCATTTTGGCGTTTGGGTTCGGCCGGGCCAGTCACTTTAACTAAGTCTCTCATTTGGTACGCGCATTGCACCCTTCTTTATTGGTTTACGGCTACATACTTGTCTCCTCGTCTTTTTTTGTCTGGTGTCATTCAACGTGTGACGTCAGGAGGATGGGGCTCGGCTCACGCAGAATGTGGCCGTCGCAGATGTGGATGTCCAGGACGGTGTGCAGTTATAGTTTATGTTTGGTTCGTATGGGAAAGTCTGGGCCATGCTATGCACCGTCGGGCTAATGGTTTTTGGTCCTTTTGCGTAATCAGGGTATAATACTTCTGCCGGTAGATACTTCTGAAGAGACAGGAGGGAGGGACGGGCAGGATTTTTTGTTGAACAGTGAACTCTCAATTGCTCCCTTCTCGCCGAAAAGACACCAACTCGGAATAGATAGATTTGTGGATTTTGCTATATATGGCCACCCGTGGCTTGAGAAACTCATTCCAAACTCGACGACCTTTCTCTTGGTCCCGCATAACGATCCCGTATTGCCCAAAGGCTTGACGGCTGCCGTTTCATCTTGAGAGCGATGTTGGGTGTTTTCGAGAGGATTAGAGAAACAATCACCGTGTTGAGTGGTTTTGTCATTATTATTATTATTATTCTTCTTCTTCTTCTACTTCTTTTCAATTTTTTTTTTTTTTTATAAAAATTGAATATTTCTTGTTCTCTTTCGTCCTCTCTTTCTAGAACACGTTTCCAGCTTACTGCACCGAGTCATGGCCACCGGATCTATCGCCCGATTCTATCGCACCAAGAATCAAGAATGCGCCAGCGACCCTGTGAGCCATTCCACATTACCGCCACCACTGCCGCCACCGCTGGCTCGGGAGGGCCACGCTTGTCTAGGTGGGCCGATCGCGGGACCCCCCCCCCCCCCCCCCACACCACCACCACCACCGGTTCGGATCCACATCCCATGCGGACTGTGGACCTCCATGCCCGTGCCGGCTGGGCCGACCTTGCCGGGAGAATGTCAGCAAGGAAAGAGATATATGAATCTCCTCCAGCATGTTTGAGGTTAGCGTAGTGCCTGGGGTTTGCCAATCAATCTGGAACTACAAGTACTGCGCTAACCTCCAACATGCTGGACGAGGTTTAGAAGAGGATCAACAAAAGAGAGAGAGACCCCCTGAAAGATGTTCTAGCCCGGGTTTAGTGACATGTAGGATTGATGCCAGACCATATGCAAGGGGCGAGACTGTATTTCCATCATTGGGTTCAGGCAGAGAGACAGACAGATGGGCAGGCAGGTGCGTGCGCCTCTTGTCAATTGTTGATCCCCCCACCAACCAATCCGCAATTGAAATGATGAGCTATTACACTACATCCCAACCCCTGTCCTTTGAACTTTCTCATCACAAACATATACACACTAACTGCGTCTCGACGCCCCGGAGTCTTACCGTACGAACTGATGAAAATTTATGGAAGCATTTTGTGCGTGTAGTTTAGCTCGCGTCCTAATTTCCCTCAGGGGTGAATGATGTCTGTATTTCATGTGTGTACGGATATGTGCATACACACCACAGCAGGCACAGACGAGTCTCAAAGTCGTGATTATTTCTGTACCACATGATTAGATGAACCAAGCCAAAAGAGCTAGCAGACCTCAGCACAACGTCTGCATAGCTTCAGAGGATCTGCCTGCTTTCCCCTCTTGCTATACTCCGATTTCATCGGATTACTATCAAGGCCGACTCGCAGAGAGGGAAGGGGTTTGGAAAAGGGATAGGGGGTGCATGCTGTTGAGCATTAATGAAAGCAACGCTTCAGCCCTAGGCCGATATCACGGTTACTACGAGTAGCATCTTCCAATATTCGAAGAGGAGCGGGGTTCTTGGTCTTGTCCCTCTTCACTCACTTGTGCCGTTTCAACGTTTGTGGTTTGTAGTAGTAGCCTAAAGGCCGTAAGGAGAATGTTTCCTACCTCTCTTACACACCCCCTGCTTAATGCTAGTTCTGAACCCCCGTCGAATTTAGATGAGGATGGAGCCACGCTCTCGCCACGGGCAATAGACATGCTTGCTTGCTAACGACGCTGCGGGGCTGGAAGGATGACTACATGGCAGATTTGCACCCATTTTTGCCTTACTGCTCGCATGCAACGGCTTGCATGCAACGGCTGGCTGGACTGGTCTGGCCTCAAGGACGAGGACGAAGACGGGCCTATGAACGCAGAGTCATACTGCGGAACGGTCGAATCTTGCACGCGTTACTTTTCGTGGTGGCGCGCTACTTGCTTCTTTCGGCCTGCGGTATGGAGTGTAATCGACAAGCTTGTCCTGCTCTCCTTTCTCTTAAAGAGACCCTCATGTACCGTTGCCCTTTGGACTCCCCAAGCTTCCCCCTTTTCATCCGCGCTGGCCTGGAACTGTTATTGCCCCTCTGTGGCCCGTCAATTTTTCACCTTCTGCTATTCTCGGCTTATACATTGCCATCATCCAAGGGACTTGGCACGTCTCCTTTCGGCTCTGCGTCTATCAGTTGCTCCTCTTCTGCCAGGAACTCACCGTATATACTACCCACCACACCAATCGTCTTCGGCACAATGAAGTACCATATTCTCTTGTTGGCCGCCGCGGCCGCCCACATGGCTCTCGCCAAGCCCCATAAGGTGGGTCGGGCAAAGCAGCGCTTCACGACCGTTAACACCCTAGCCGCCGGTCCGATCTCCGCCCCCGTGCAACCGATGCCGGTCAGACAGGTGGCCCCCGTTGCCTCCGCCGAGACTCCGGCGACGTCGCCGGTCCTTGTGACGCAGAATGCAGTCTCATCGCCCACATCGGCAAATAGCGATGATGGGGGCACGTCAGGAAGGTCGACCTTTTACGGCGGCAACACCGCCGGCGGAAAGTGCTCCTTCTCGACGTACCAGATTCCCTCCGGCCTGTACGGCACCGCCTTCTCCGGCCAGGTCTGGAACTCGGCTGCGCACTGCGGTGCTTGCGTCAAGGTCACCGGCCCCAAGGGCAACAGCCTGGTCGCCATGATTGTCGACGAGTGTCCTGAATGCATCGAGAGCCACCTCGACCTCTTTCAAGACGCCTTCGCACAGCTTGGGTCTCTTTCCGACGGCATCATCTCGACCTCGTATATATTCGTCAACTGCGGCATCACATCGCCCATCAAGCTGCACAACAAGTCGGGCACTTCGGCTTACTGGTTCTCCATGCAAGTGCTGAACCATAACGAGCCTGTGTCGGCGCTGGAGGTTAGCACGGACGGCGGAAGCACCTGGGAGAAGACGACCCGCCAGCCGTATAACTTCTTCGAGAACCCGAGCGGCTTCGGTACCGACTCCGTCGACGTTCGGGTGACGGCCGAGTCCGGAAAGACTGTCATCGTCAGGAATGTCAGTGTCAAATCCGACTCGGAGCACAACGCAGCGTCCAACTTCTAAGCCAAGGACGCAGGGGTCTCAAAAGCTAAGGCTTCCAAGGTATGGATCTGGCGTATCTTGGAACGGTTGTTGTGCCTTGGCCACTGTCTGGTGTCTTGCAAAGACATTGTCCGCGCGCCGGCTCTAATTGGGATCGCGTACTGTGCATGCCGTGGAGGAATAAGGTTCTGTGTGCCAGGCAAACCAAACAATCGCCTGCCTCGCTTGGTTGATGGCTCTTGTCTCTTCCATTTACTCTTCCGAGACGTCTAAGGCGAGCGAATTGAGGGTATAGGCGATATCATGATCTAGGGTTCTGAGTAAAACGGGGGCTCTATGTTGACCCAAGGAACGCTCCTAGGATTGGTTCTGCGCAAGCTCGCAGAACACATTTTGGTCCGAGCAGCATAGTGTGTATCGGATTACCCCGATGCCCAGAGTTATCTTTTCTTCCTCCAAATCTTGAACTTGGTCCGCGACGACAGTCGAAATGCGCATTGGCCAATGATAATGTGGCCGTGCTGGTGCATATACTACGTAGGTGAACAAGATGAAGCAAGGTAGGTAATTACGTCAGGCATTCGGTGCCCGGTGGCTCACGACAACACATTAGTCGTGGCCCAGCGATGCAGACAGTTTCGATTTGACGGCGGAGATCGCCAGGCACGGTACGTGCAGTGGGGTGGCCGAGGAACGATCAGTGTCAATGACCAGCCCCGCTGACATGGCCGGTCAAGTATCCGTAGAGCTTCATTGTCAGCCTGTGGTGTTCTGGCAGTGTAGTGTTGACGACTGCTCAACGAAACTTGTATTCTCGTATATTGGCGTTGTCCAAATACAACGTTCATGGGCTAGTGCCTGCCGAGATGTCAACGGTGAATGTCTTATTCAGTGTAGGCCGCTCGAACGCCGATTGGTGGCAACGACTGAACTGGAAGAAAGTCAGTCTGTTGAGGCTTGCTGAGATGCGGTTTGGGCCTTGCTGCGCAATGGTGAGGCTTCGATCACTGCATACTACCTATGTGGTGCAGAGTAGGTATGCCGCGTTCAGGTACAATTAGTACTGCGTTGTCATGGCGAACGTCCGTGGCTGTGCGACACGTTGCACAGCCAAATGGTATCAACATCAAGTTGCAGTCCTTAGTGAGCGTCATGGGTAGCATTCGCCTGTATGCATCACCGCACTGCTGCTGGTACATGACTGGAATGAGACAGTTGAGTAACCTGCCAGCCTGTTAGTCGTACCCGCTAGCCATCGGTTCTCGATGTGTCGATCGAAGATGGGATTAGCAGCAAGGATCGGCTATCGGGAAGGCTGCGTGTGGTTCGGCACCCGTTTGGCTTTGTTGGCCGGTTTGTCCAGGTCCGGGCTTGAGGGGTCCTTCGCCGTGCCAAGGCCTCGGCCCTGTCCAGCTGCAGCGCAATTGAGAAAGTGGTTGTGGGTGGAAGAGGAGAGGGGCTGCCATGGAACTTGGGAGTACCTAGCAGGCCATTGAGTCTTTGTGCTGGTGACGTGACGCGTCTGCAACAGCCTGGAATGGTCCCAGAATCAAGCTGAATATGGCATGCATGCACGCTGCACGTTTTGAATTGTCATGGCGAAGCAACTGGGATACAATACAATACTCATGGCATGGACTGGCCCTGAGGACGATGAAAACTTCTTGCTCGTTCGCATTGTTCGTTCGTATGCCAGATAAGGTTTGGTCGAGCTCGGCCTTGCTGACTCGATGCCATGGCGGTGTTCAGAACGATGATGAGACGGCAAACTGCGGACGATGAAGTACGGCTGATACGC